TAGTAGACATACTCCTCCTCCTCCTCCTCCTCCTCCTCCTCCTCCTCCTCCTCCTCCTCCTCGTCATCCATGGCAATGCGAGCATCGTCCCCGTCCCCGTCTCTGTCATTTCGGGGCCGTTTTCGCGTCCCCGCGGTCGCCGCCGCCGCCGCCGCCGCCGCCGCCGCCGCCTCCGCTTCGTTATCGTTGTGCCCGTCCTCCTCCACCGTTCCTGCTGCGCCCGCCCCCGCGCTACTGCCGCCGTCGCCGCTGCCCCCTCCGCCTGCGGCTCCGCCGCCGACTCTTCCCTTGCCCTTGCCCTTACCCTTACCCGACCCACTCTTGCTTGTCGTAGCAGCGTCGCCGTTTTCGGCCGCGGCTGAAGCCGCAGCAGCAGTAGCAGCGGAAGTAGAAGACGCGTCGCGAGGAACGGTCTGGGGGAAGCGCCCGCCCTCCTCGAGCGCCGCTGTTTGTGCCGCCGCGGGCGGCGGCGGCGGCGGGGTCACGACGGGTCCGGCGACGGCGGCAGCGGTCAGGCCTTCGGCGGCCAACCCCGCCGCTCGCACAGTTAGCGCAATCCCCCCTCCTCCCGCTGCTCCGCCGCCTCGTCCTGGATGCTGATAGTCTTCGAGGTCTTCTTGGCTTTCTTCTTCGGCCGATTCTCCCTCCGCCACCATCAGCGTGTCTCCCCATCCCATGGGCAAACCTGAAGTGGGAGAAAATTCCGGCAATTTTTTCTCTTGTGTGAATCAGCCGCCGGAGGTGATAATTGTGGTCATGACAAAAATGCACGCAGCACACACGGAAACAGAGAAAACGTAACCATGCCGACTGTCAAACGTGAACACAATGCGCCAGTGAGCACCTTACACGGCGGCGTGCACACATTTTCTTGTTGCAACCTGCACCTACTTTGACGATGGCACAGCTAGCAGAAGAGTGGGTGGGACATGACACGACCAACAACAGGCCATGTGCAAGAAACTTCGACGACCAAAACAACATAACTGTTTCTTTCGTTCCAGACTAACTCTTTCGACTGGCCAACAACTGACCAATCACAGCACGAACCTACGAAACGCACAGCCCGATAATAGGCACACACAGACGCGGCGAAGCGACCGACTACAAATCCCAAGAAATCTACGCAAACAAAAGAGAGCTCGCGATTCCAGTCGGATAATATAACCGAGAGCGGTCGGCAAAAAATAAAAAAAATGAACGCACCGCGACCGGTAGAGCTCGCGCTGCTTCCACCCCAGGCACGGGCCTGGCTGGTTACCGCGTGCGGGAGGTGCAGCGGCGCGGCCCTGGGGTACAAGACTGCGCCACACCCCGCGAGCGCCTGCTGGCTCGCCGCCGCCAGCCTCTGGTCCGGGTGCGAGGCGAACGATCGGAACGCCGCGATCGCGACGGAGAGGCTGCCGCTCCGGGTGCCGTCCGCCTGACCAAAAACAAATAATTGCAAGCATTTCAGCAGATGGTTGGCTGACTCCCACCTTGATGACGGTCTCACAGACACACATGAACGCGGCGGACCGATTGCTCTGAGTAACATCTCTCAAACATTTGGATAGTCGACCGTGCCAGAACGGTACTACTACTAGTGTTTGGCTGGCGTCCAGACAGCAATGACTGCAGGGCATTTTGCGTTGTGCGAGCCCCAGGCCGCTCTGCCACACAGCAAACACGAGACTACTCACGAGGCACGCGCGTTTTACGCAGAAGTCGAAGGCATCAAACTTGTTTGTGACGGGCACGTGCGCGTGTGTGGGAACCATAAACCGTCCACACACACACACACCACACATTTCTGCCACACACACACACACGCCTTCTCACCAGAGGAGTCATCAAGCACGCGTGCGCCAACCCCAAGAACTCCCGCGCCACCCGCGGGTCCTCCAGCCGGGCACACCTCCTTCCCCCCCCACTCGCACCACCACCACCGCCGCCGCCTCCGCCCCCGTCGCCACGACTCCCCTTCGCCGCCCCCCCCGCGTGCGACAGGAGCTCGAGGCCGCGGTGGAGCACTTCCTCGACGGCCAGCCTTCCCCCCAGCGGGAGGTGGCCCTTGCAGCACACCACCACCCGCGACAAGCACGACAGTCCGGCGCACACGGCCTGCTCTTCCGCCAAGGCCGCCGCTCCGGTCCGCCCCGCCCCGCCGCCGCCGCCGCTGCTCGCGACCGTGGCCGTGGCGGCAGCGGCGGCGTCAGCGGCGGCGAGCGCCCGCCCGACCTCCTTCTCCCGCGACCGCCGCTGCTTCTTCTGCGAGCTCTTGCGGGCAGACATGGCCGGCTCTATGCCCATGCCCTTCTTCGAACCACCACCTACCGCCGCCACACCGGGCGCGCCGGTGGCTGCCACAAATTCGACACTACTATCACCCCCCGCGCCGCCGCCGCCGCCAGCGGCCTCAGGCTCGGATGCGGCGACGGCGGACCTGACCTCAGCGAGGATGGCCGGGAGAGCGGGCGTGGCCAGGTACGGGGCGGCGCCCTCGCCGAGCTGAAGGACGGCCCTCGAAACGGCGCGGTAGCCGGCGGCGCGGAGAGAGCCGGCGTCGGACGGCTTAGCCATACCCTGAACGGAAGGTGCGATTGTTTGTTGTTGGATAGGAGGTCGAGACAGCAGGGGCGCGCGCGCGTGTGTGTGTTTGAATTAGCATCAACCGCGCTAACGGGCTGACCAATGAAAAGACGTGTCTTGTAGCGGGATAACAAAAAACGCGATCATGTGTCGTGTGTGTTGTGTTGTTGTTGGATAAGAGGGTCGAGATAGCAGGAACGAACGTGTCTGTGTTTTGAATTAGGATCGACCGCGCCAACCAATTAAATTAAAAAAATGCCTCAGTCTTGGTAGATGGATAAAAAAAAAGACGCGATCGTGTCGTCTGTGTTGCGTGGTGGGGCTGATAACACAACCAGTCCCCGGCCAAGACCTAAGAAAAGCCACACACACCCGGCGTGATGGCCAGGCGGGTCGAGGTGAGGAGGAGAGAGTCACCCGATTGTCTTCGAGTGTCTCGCTTCTTCTCCGCGCTCTAACACCAGCGTGGAAGAAGCAACGGACGGCAGCCGCAGCGACTTCGGGCCATTCCTTTTCGACGACCGTCCTGATGAAACATGAAAACGACCACAACCACCACCACCACCAAACATCGACTGGAAAACCAACACCAAAAACAGAACAATTCGAAGGCCTCATTTATTTACACCGTGAACAAAAGCACAAATCAAGGACGTGAGCGGCACTCACAGCAACACAGCATCAGGGAAAAATCAGACGCATTCCACCAATCCGCGTCACGTTATGTAACCCCCCCCCCCCTCAATGGTCCCCCCCCCCGGTGTTTGCCATCGGGGTTTGGGTTTTCGTCGCTTGGCAACGACGTTGTAAAACAAGCCGCGCCCCCCCGGTGTTTGCCATCGGGGTTTGGGTTTTCGTCGCTTGGTCAACGACGTTGTAAAACAAGCCAATTCACTTAGTGAACTCCGGCAACCAGGTTACCGTTTTTTTTTTTTACCTCGGTTTTTTTTTTTTGGCGGTAACCATAATGGTGGTCGAGTAGATCATGTTGTGCGGGGTCGAGAAACCTCACTCCGCGCAACGGAGAGGCATGATGCGCACCTCAGTTGTTGTTAATAATGGTCAAGCTTCCTCGAGGCAGTTACACAGTGCTTACAACTGTCTCTGGAAGTCAAAGCACCAGAAAATAAATTAAGTCATACGTAGCTGTCATCCGCGCAAGGAAGTAAGCACAAGATGCCGAACACCCTTAGCAGGATGCAGCTCACCCTTCATGCGACTCGCCAAATACCTCACGGCGCTTCGCGCTTGGTGATGTGAGAGCCTGGTCCGGTGAGAACCCGGCGTGCTCCGTCCCGGCTTTGTAGGGATGCGAGGTCAATGGTCAAACGACTACGGCATGCACGACTATGAGTACATGAGTACACCCCCCCCTCAATGGTCTAACGACTACGGCATGCACGACTATGAGTACACCCCCCCCCCCTCCCTGTCAACACTCCTCACCTGGACCAGTGCTCGGCAGAAACGTCGGGCGATGCGTAGGACAGTGGAGGCCTCGGTCGTGGCTAAGGCGTGCAGCAGGCGGGACGCGGCGAGGCCGAGAGACGGGCGGATGGTGCTCAGGGCGCCGTGCGAGAGTGCTCCCTGGGCTACGGGGATGAAGACCTGTGTGTGCATGTCCCGGGCGGGCGGCGGCGGCGGCGGTAGTGAGAGGCAGACAGACCACGCGACGGGGGAACGCGAAAAGCAGTCGGCAGCGGACAACCGTCGTCTAGCGCAAATGTGGCGTCTCGTTGTATCGCTGCTCTTGCCTCCCATCTTCTCCGCTGGTTCTTTCATTATTCCCCTCTCTCTCGCTGTTTCACACACGCATCCCTCTCCACGCTCGACGCCTCCACCCCTCCCAAAACAAACCTCTCTTCTGAACCCTAACCTTCTTCTACCACCTGGCTACTCACTCCCCCGCGGGCGACCTGCTTCTCTCTAAACTCACCTGGGGGCCTTGGCCCTTCACCACGGAAGAAACCATTCGCTGAACCCTCTCCACCAGGGCAAGGATAAGACCAACCGGGACGGCCACCGGCCTGCCGTTCGAATCTCCTGTTAGCATCAGCTCCAGCACGTGGCAAAGGCCCTGAAAGATCAGGCAGGCAAAGCACGCGCAGCGGCGAGCGGCAACCCGAGAGAAAACAAACAATGGCGGCACGCCAGTGAGAGCAGGAGCACAATCCTACGTTAGCGGCGGCGGCAGCGGGCGGATATGATACGGTGGAGTGAAAGCACAGCGAAGATGACACCAAGCTAATAGAAAATACAAGGACAACAGTAGCCCAGGCCAAGGCAAAGGCAAACGACGCGGCGGCGGAGGGGGGCGGGCGGGGGGGGGGGGGGGGTACCGGCTGGGTTCCCGGGGAAAACGGGGGCCCCCAACCCCCCTGTAACGGAATTAAACCCCGCCCACAAAAACGATACACACACACT